TTTAGCGGTTTTAGGCCTTACTTTACTATGTCATTGTATCCCTTACCATACTATGACGTTTTTATGACCTTTTATGCCTTAATATGCTATGGTGTTTTTTTGACATTTTTTGCCATACTATACTATGACGTTTTTTGGCATTTTTATGCCATACTATACTATGATGTTTTTTAGCGGTTTTAGGCCTTACTTTACTATGTCATTGTATCCCTTACCATACTATGACGTTTTTATGACCTTTTATGCCTTAATATGCTATGGTGTTTTTTTGACATTTTTTGCCATACTATACTATGACGTTTTTTGGCATTTTTATGCCATACTATACTATGATGTTTTTTAGCGGTTTTAGGCCTTACTTTACTATGTCATTGTATCCCTTACCATACTATGACGTTTTTATGACCTTTTATGCCTTAATATGCTATGGTGTTTTTTTGACATTTTTTGCCATACTATACTATGACGTTTTTTGGCATTTTTATGCCATACTATACTATGATGTTTTTTAGCGGTTTTAGGCCTTACTTTACTATGTCATTGTATCCCTTACCATACTATGACGTTTTTATGACCTTTTATGCCTTAATATGCTATGGTGTTTTTTTGACATTTTTTGCCATACTATACTATGACGTTTTTTGGCATTTTTATGCCATACTATACTATGATGTTTTTTAGCGGTTTTAGGCCTTACTTTACTATGTCATTGTATCCCTTACCATACTATGACGTTTTTATGACCTTTTATGCCTTAATATGCTATGGTGTTTTTTTGACATTTTTTGCCATACTATACTATGACGTTTTTTGGCATTTTTATGCCATACTATACTATGATGTTTTTTAGCGGTTTTAGGCCTTACTTTACTATGTCATTGTATCCCTTACCATACTATGACGTTTTTATGACCTTTTATGCCTTAATATGCTATGGTGTTTTTTTGACATTTTTTGCCATACTATACTATGACGTTTTTTGGCATTTTTATGCCATACTATACTATGATGTTTTTTAGCGGTTTTAGGCCTTACTTTACTATGTCATTGTATCCCTTACCATACTATGACGTTTTTATGACCTTTTATGCCTTAATATGCTATGGTGTTTTTTTGACATTTTTTGCCATACTATACTATGACGTTTTTTGGCATTTTTATGCCATACTATACTATGATGTTTTTTAGCGGTTTTAGGCCTTACTTTACTATGTCATTGTATCCCTTACCATACTATGACGTTTTTATGACCTTTTATGCCTTAATATGCTATGGTTTTTTTTTTACATTTTTTGCCATACTATACTATGACGTTTTTTGGCATTTTTATGCCATACTATACTATGATGTTTTTTAGTGGTTTTAGGCCTTACTTTACTCTGTCATTGTATCCCTTACCATACTATGACGTTTTTATGACCTTTTATGCCTTAATATGCTATGGTGTTTTTTTGACATTTTTTGCCATACTATGCTATGACGTTTTTTGGCATTTTTATGCCTCACAATAGTATTTCATTGGATCCCTTACCATACTATGACGTTTTTATGACCTTTTATGCCTTAATATGCTATGGTTTTTTTTTTACATTTTTTGCCATACTATACTATGACGTTTTTTGGCATTTTTATGCCATACTATACTATGATGTTTTTTAGTGGTTTTAGGCCTTACTTTACTATGTCATTGTATCCCTTACCATACTATGACGTTTTTATGACCTTTTATGCCTTAATATGCTATGGTGTTTTTTTGACATTTTTTGCCATACTATACTATGACGTTTTTTGGCATTTTTATGCCATACTATACTATGATGTTTTTTAGTGGTTTTAGGCCTTACTTTACTATGTCATTGTATCCCTTACCATACTATGACGTTTTTATGACCTTTTATTCCTTAATATGCTATGCTGTTTTTTTGACGTTTTTTGGCATTTTTATGCCATACTATACTATGATGTTTTTTAATGGTTTTAGGCCTTACTTTACTATGTCATTGTATCCCTTACCATACTATGACGTTTTTATGACCTTTTATTCCTTAATATGCTATGCTGTTTTTTTGACGTTTTTTGGCATTTTTATGCCATACTATACTATGATGTTTTTTAATAGTTTTAGGCCTTACTTTACTCTGTCATTGTATCCCTTACCATACTATGACGTTTTTATGACCTTTCATGCCTTAATATGCTATGGTGTTTTTTTGACATTTTTTGCCATACTATGCTATGACGTTTTTTGGCATTTTTATGCCTCACAATAGTATTTCATTTGATGCCTTACCATACTATGACGTTTTTATGACCTTTTATGCCTTAATATGCTATGGTTTTTTTTTTACATTTTTTGCCATACTATACTATGACGTTTTTTGGCATTTTTATGCCATACTATACTATGATGTTTTTTAGTGGTTTTAGGCCTTACTTTACTACAGGGGTGGGCAAACTACGGCCCGTGGGCCACATCCGGCCCATTGGTCTTTTTAATCCGGCCCGCCGAAGATTGGTACAGAATTGCCCAAATCAAATCATATCATAATTATGACTGCATTCATTTGACCTTGTCCTGTAATGCCTGGTGTTCCACCAGGTGGCACATTAGGCACAGTGATACATTGACTTGTTTGTTATTACTCATCTGCTACAATGAGTGGGCCAAAGAAAAGAAAAATTGACAGTGAGTGCCGAGTGTTTAATAAGGAATGGATGACTAAATACTTTTTCACTAAAGTCCGGTCAAAGGCTGTATGTCTTATTTGCCAAGAAACCGTTGCGGTTTTATAGGAAGACAACATCAGCTGTCACTTTTCCACCAAGCATGCTAATTACGCTAACAATCAGTCAACGCAAGAACGGACTGCTACCGCTCAGAGGTTGGTAGCTAGTTTGCAGGCTCAGCAAAACACCATTATCCGACAAACTGCCATCCAAGAATCAAGCACGAAGGCAAGTTATTTGCTGGCATTCAAATTAGCAAAGACCAGCAAGCCTTTCCCTGAAGGGGAGTTTCAGTTGCCAGTTGTAAAACTCGTTAACTTTATTCGAGCAAGGGGACTTCAGCATTGTCAGTTTATTAAGTTTCTTGAAGAAACTGACGCTGATCACCAGGACTTGCTTTACCACTCTAATGTCCGCTGGTTAAGTTTGGGGAAAGTATGTCAACGAGTGTGGGAGCTCAAACAGGAGATTATCTCATTTTTGGAGCTACTTGAGAAAGCTGACGATTTTCCTGAGCTGAGTGACACAGATTGGCTTTGTGATTTAGCTTTTGCTGTGGACATACTGACACACATGAATGAGCTACAAGGGAAAGACCAGTTTGTGCATGAAATGTACACAAACATAAGAGCCTTCAAAACCAAGCTAGCTTTATTCTCAAAGCAAATGTCAAACAAATCATTCGCTTATTTCCCCACACAGGCCACTCGACATGTGAAAAAATACAGGAAATCACTGGATGACCTGCATGGAAAATTCTGCCGTTGGTTCTCTGATTTTGGAAAAATTTACAAGTCACCTCAGCTGGTGTCATGTCCCTTCACACAAGACCCTGAAATTGCGCCACAGGAGTTGCAGTTGGAACTGACTGATCTCCAATGTGACACCATCTTAAAGGAGAAGTTCAACTCTCTTAAACTGGATGAGTTTTATGCTTCATTAAGCGCAGCCAAATTTCCAAACATCCAGAAGATAGCACAGAGGATGCTGGTGTTGTTTGGCTCTACGTATGTGTGTGAACAGACTTTTAGTGTGATGAACACCAACAAAACAACCCACAGATCCCAGTTGAGTGATGAAAACCTCAGATCTGTTCTGAGAATTGCCACAACAAAACTAACACCAGACTTTGATGCACTGGCAAAAAAGGGTGATCAACAACACTGTTCCCACTAAAAGTGAATGTAAGTATTAACACTGTAATGCCTTTTTTATGTTTGATATGTATGCATCTGGTGCTGGCCCGGCCCGGCCCGTCTGTCAAATTTTAAAAGTATATGTGGCCCCTGAGCCAAAAAGTTTGCCCACCCCTGCTTTACTATGTCATTGTATCCCTTACCATACTATGACGTTTTTATGACCTTTTATGCTTTGATATACTATGGGTTTTTTTTTTACATTTTTTGCCATATTATACTATGTAGTTTTTTTTTCACTTTTTTGCCATAGCATACTATGTCGTTTTTTCAACTTTTTTGCCATACTATACTATGTCTCTTTTTTTTTTTTTACTTCTTAGGCCTTACTATACCATGATGTTTCTTTTTCACTTTTTTGCCATATATAGTCATTTTTTTTACTTTTTTCATATACTTTACTATGTCATTTTTTTCCTTACATACTATGTCATTTTCGTGGCTTTTCATGCCTTACTATACTATGACTCTTTTTTGACATTTTAATGTCTTACTATACTGTGACTTTTCTTTTGATCCTCAACAGTCTGTGCAATTAAAACAGTGGAATCTCTTAAAGCCTTAAATATTTTCCTTTAATGTTTGTGATGTTTCACAGTATCCCTATGTATATAGTTTTGTTTTTTCCTTTTAGAACATTTTTGTTTCATTATCCACATTTATTCATTGCATTTATTTCATTTTAGTTTACTTTATTTGTAAGTATTGATGATAAAATGGAAAATGTTTTAAATAATCAGTCTGTTGGTACACAAAAGCATGAAAGTATGGTACCCAGTCCTATTTTTTAACTAAGAGTTCAAACTTGCAAACACACTGGTTTGCAAGTTTGATCTGCAACTTAATTCCTGGTAGATTCCATAGTATTTGGCTGATTGACATTAATCAATGCAAAAAGTTTAAAATTGTACAAAAGAACCAATGTAATATCATGACAGCAAAGAACAATTCAAGGGGGATTTTTTTGTTGTTGTCGTTTAATTTTTTTCATCTAATTCTTAAATAAATAAATGTGTGTACACAGTATCAATGTCTGATGATGGTCATCAGAAGAAACCACGGTGTTCTAGTTGGAGCTTGATGAATAAATCAGACCGGTTTAATGGAAAAAAAGACAATGTGTGGACAAAAAGGTACAAAGAAGATGCTGGACACTGTAGCAAACAAAATAAAATATTAAACAATGCAGATGACTGTTTTTTGCTTTTTGGAGGAAATCTGGCAATGCACGCACGCACGCGCACACACACACACACACGGGGAATTTCAGGAGTTATACTCTCTACTAAATCAGATCTGGATAAAAAGAAATTCCAAAGTTTTCACTGTTTCAACTGGTTATAGCTGAACGGCTCCTGAACAAACCATTGTTCTCAAACCAAAAACTTGAGCCATTTGAAAAATCTGAAACCTATTAAATCGCATCCTACACACAGGGGCTTTGACTCCCATATGAGGTACAGTATTCATTGCATATTGTAAAATTATGAATGACAAAGTTGTGGACAAACCAAAAAAGTCAAGGCAGATAAGAATCTTAATCTGTGGTTACCAACTTGTTTCACACCGTCTTGATTTGATATGGTGACTCTTGATTGTTTGCACACAATGAAAACAGAAGCAAATGAGTGTTTGAAAGAAAAGTCTTTGTTTTTCTTTTTCCAGGTCTGCCTCCAACATTCAACACTGCCATCTCCACTCTGGTCCCTAACCTGATAACTTCTGTTATTTACAAAAGAAAAACAGGAATACAAAAACTAACAAGATTCCTCTTGGAACAGGTTAACAAAGTGCCATAATCCATTGTTTGTCTTTTTCAGGAAAGGCTCCAATTTTTTCCGATCTGTCCTAAAACAACCATGTATATTAAAAGAGTTATAATTATTCTTCTGTTCATACTGGCAGTCAGGTAACACCTCATAGCTCAAGTGTAATTTAAGAAATGGACAAGACTGTGTCGTCGTCCTGTGTTAAAATCCATTCCAGCTAATATTAAGCTTCACCAGTCTGTTATTTTGGATATTTTTAGTTACAATCTTTTGGTATCAAATTCTCTACTTGAGTTTCTATCTGTCATGCAGATGAAATCACTGTCTGATGGAACAAGAAAAGGTGAATTTTGTACTAAAAAGACTATAACTTTCCCACTGCAGCCAAAATCGGAACGTATTTTGCACAGAACATCGTCTTGAATATCGAGTTGCACTAGCAGGGTATCGCTTCAAAGCTAGTATGAATAGGAGGGCTGATTCGAGATCAATAACTCTTTCAATGTACATCTGGGCATGTAAAACAGACATGAAAAGTTCTGAACATTTCCTTTAACCTCGCCTCGCCCTGTTTTCTCCATCTACATGGTCAACAGTGAAAACAGGAGCAACGACGGTAAAACTGATCCCAAATTCAAGCTAGAGAGTCGCTCTCTCTCTCTGTCTCGATCAACTGGTCCCCATCACAAAGCAAGGCGAGCATCGTCTCTGACTCACTCTTTGTAACAGCAGTAGATCCCTGCTTTATTTTAGAGTCAAATCTTCAGTTCCTCTTCTGTGACTCTGCAGTCATGTCAGCCTTAATGTTCAGATCCGATTGGATCTGAGATGCGTCTGTGGTCAGTTTCCTCCCCTAAAAGAGTCAGTCTTCAGAATGGATAAAACTTGAGAGTAAACAACACAGTGAGAGTTCACCTACAGGTGAAAAATAAAAGTTTGCTATTTTGATTCCTTGACAGAGGACGCAGGGGAGTCAGGGGAGTCTGAAACCAATGTGAGGATTCTGGATCCATTAATAATCACCATAATGGCTCTAGTGTCGTGTCCTTTCCTGCCAGAGTTCAGGTGAGGGGACCAAATCCTTCAGGACAGTAGATAAAAGCCAAACGCATTGTCCTCTGCTGTTTTGGCTTCATGAGTTAAACACATCAGTATAGCAGCCCCCCCCCCCCCCCCGCCACTTCAGCACTGACACACTTAGTCAGGCATGTCGATGCAGAGTTTCGGTGGAGGGACGAAGTACTTCCCAGGGCTCTGTGTGATCACCACGCCGGTCTTCTTGTGGAACATGGGGGCAATCTTTGGTGGCGGCTCGGGGACGGGCAGATCCTCAACTGCCTCGGGGTCCTCGCTGCGTTGGAGGTCGTAGGACACGTTGCCATACTCTCGCAGGAAGGGTAGGAGCTCCAACAGGAAGTGGCAGAAGTCTTTGCGGATGCCAAACCACCCTATAGGAACATCAGGACAGAAATGACAATGTTTTCATTTGACAACTACCATAAAAAATGAACGTACTACAAGAGCACAACAAAGTTTAAAAGGTCCCATGTTGTATAAAGGTAGATTATAAAGCAGGTCTAGGTTCTATATTAATACTGTGAAAGTATCAAAGCTCTCAGTCCACAGAGAAATGCACAAAGCCTGTATTCAGAGACTGAGTCGTAAAACCAGCCGTCAGGACGTGTTTTCTCAACAACTGTTTTCTGTGATTATAAACTGAATCTTTTGATTTTGATATTTTTCAGTAATTAAAATAATCATCAGTTTCTGTCCTAGATTTGACACACAAAGCAAATCAAAGAATTTCTGTATAACAAAATAATAAGTATAAATGACTACCAGTATACACCCAGTGGCCACTTTATTAGGTACACCTGTACTGCATTGCTATCTTTATGAAACTCATGTTCAGTTTATGGCGACACTGTTAAAAACATGTAAATTATATGATTATTACTGCGGCCAAAGCTAAAAGTGGTTTTGTGCTGGACCACTTTATATTGAGAGGTAAAGATACAGTGCATTACATCATCATCATCTCAAACTGTGAGCTCAGTGTTAAAATATAACTGAACTATCACCTCTGTGACAGTATAAAAAAAAAACTAAATCAATAGGCAGAATAAAAAAAGACTTGATGGCTGAACAGTTGCATTAGTTTAGTACCTAATAAAGTGGCGCTTTAGTGCTGTCAAATACTTTGGATTATAAGGTTTTATTGGTTCTTCACAGAAAAGAATAGCAGTAAACCCCCCCCCCACCCCCAGTGGAGACATTCAGCAGCTCACAGCACATTACAGGCTTTAAATACTCACAGTGGTTCCCTCCCTTCTGACCAAAGGTGGTGGCCATGAGTGTGAGCAGGGAGAGCCAGAGGGGGACGAACACGCACACGTAGCTCAGGCTGTTGTGACCGTCCAGCTTGTGCACCAGAAGGATCTAAGAGAGAATGTTGGGGGAATGTTGGGGGGGTCAAAGGATGTAATTGGGGAGGGGTGAAAGTGCATGCAGCATATAAGTAAAGGTGGATAATGAAAGTGTAAAATAAAAATGAGTGTGTGAATGTTTTATTTTTGAACAAGCCTTTCCAGGACACCCTGTGTACATTTTAAACTGACTATTAAAAGAACTGTACATTTAAGGCCAGTGAAGGGCAGGGTAGGCTATTTATATTAGTACAGCCACTTTAGATCCAAGTTTTCTATTTAATTTTGTGAGACAGGCGCAACAATATAATTAGTATGTGTGTAGTTAATGATATAATTTAAGAATGGAATAAAAACAGCGTCATTTTAGTTTGAGAAAAATGCCCAAAATGTGGATGTAAATAAATGAAACAGAAACAACGAACTGAACAGTAATATATTGGTATCTGAAACTCACTTCAAAGGTGAGAAGCGGTACGACAATGGTCATCCAACTGATTGCCATGGTGATGTGAGTTCGCCGTTGCTCGGCGATGATGTCAATGGAGCGGAGGAAGAGGACAGACCAGATGATGTAGTAGAGGACGACAAGGCACAGGAAGGACATCAGGATCCACAGTGGGACACACACCACCTGCAAACCCGACACACACACACACACACACACACACACACACACACACACACACACACACACACACACACACACACAGGTTTCATTTAAGAAGATGAAGGGAAGGAGAATATTATAACCAACTGTGGCCTTAAATTTTGATAATGGTTGAGAGAGAGATAGCAATCCCATACAGTGAAAGCATAATGAACATATAGATTACATGTGAATGGAACTGTAGTGTATGATAAACAAACAATGGCTAATTTCTGATCTAGTTTATATCAGAGTATCTCACCAGCCAGGGCCAGTTGATGATCCTGTCCAACTTCAGAGCGATGAAGATGAACTGGAGAATGTTCACTGAACACAACACCTCCAGCTGAGAAGAGGGAGGGATGAAGAAGACACAAGTTCAGCACTTGTAATTTTCAACATATGAAACTTTGGACGTATGAAACACTGCTCGTTTTGTCTTGCATGGTGATCAAACAAGATTACAATGTTTATTATGACATCACACAGTGACATGTCAAGAGCAAATGAACACCTTGAAACATATTTAATGAAAACAATGTAAATATCCTACAACAGGTGTTAACCTTTATCTATATGCAAAGACTGTTCATATAAAAGGGATTAACCATTCCTGAACTCTCACCTAATACAGAATTAGTAACGAACTAACAAACTTGAATTATCTAGCCACAGTTACAAGAGTTCGGCTGCAGGTTTGTGACGTTTTGTTTTGCGTTCCTGGTGTCGGTCCTTGTATGTATTAAGATTCTTTACCTCAAGAGAGCGGTCGTGTCTAAACCCCCAGACGCAGGCTGCTACAGAAACGGGTGACACGAAGAAGAGAGGCATGAAGACGAGAAGCCAAAAGTAGTTTCCTCTCGCTACGCGGTCGCACACCAACACCTCAAACATCAGCAGCAGGACGTGAAGGCCCACAGCGATCAGCATGGCCTTGAACTCCACACATGTCTCCCCTTCGGCCCTAAGAGAAGACACACAAAGGCCCAATTTTATTATTTAGAAGGCCGACTAAACAGAAAAAAAAAATCACACACAATACACACATAAAGACATCTATGGTATATGTTCATCTCAGTTTAAAAGTCTGTTCTTTTGAATTAGGCGACATTACAAATGTAGGAGGACACATTTTTTTTGCTTTTTTAATCTCTCAAACATTAAATGAATAACAATAAATGCTGCTTTTGGTTAAATCCTCATTACTGCAGATTTAAAGCAAATATTCTATTGTGCAAATATATTCTGAAAGCACCAACAGTCAACGCTTCACACATATTGAGGTCAATATTGAGAGCAGATGCAGTTTACTTTTTTTTAGTGTGTGGGTAAAAACTTTTAATTTCCCAACCACTGGTGTCCTAATGACACACATAGTCATTGAGTGTGCAGTAAACATATGAGAAGAGAAGCAGTTTAATGTGCTGGACTTCCAGTTGCCCCATTACTATCTAGTTTTCCCCTCTGAACTATAAATGTGTGTTTTAAGTCTACCTGTACTGAGGGTTGTGGGCCCAGACCCCAGTGCCCACAGAGGCCCCAAAGATGACCAACAGCTTCCAAAGCCATATTGGGGTAAACACAGCCCAGTAGCTCCACTGGATAACTCCATCCAGCCTCAAGGACAGCAACACAGAGAACAGCAGCAGACAGGAGTAGATCAGGAACTTACTGCAACAGGGGAAAGAGAGACCAAGTTCTTATAGTTACAGACAATGGAGGGAACCGTTTTCTTAAAACATTATAAAAACAGATGGTGCTGTGTGGAGAATGTGTATTAGTAAAATATCAATGTTTGAAGAGAGTGACACATAAAATAAGCAACCTGAAAGTTAGGATCATGGAAGAGTTGATGTCAATTGTGAGTTTTCATTAATTGAAAATAGATGGCTGAAAAAAGAGGCACCATGGTTTCTTGTACTGTGATAGCATAAAGTGAGTGTCAAAATAGTGAATGTTCCCAAGCTGCTAACTGTGGCACAGACTTCAGCATTAAAACCAGGACCGTCTTTACAACTGAGACTGGTGTTATTTCACTGAACCTTGGACTTCAGTATAGTTATTGAATTTTGCAGTAGACATTTTGGCTCCTGTTACAACTCAGCTGTCCTGGGCTCCTAGCTAATAAAGACACCGTCTCACATTATTAAGTATAATTTCTGAACACATGCCTGAAGAATTGACTAAATGGCTGCAGTTATCATGTCATACAGTTTAGAGCTGCACTGATTAGTTGATCGAAAAAATTATCCTCAACTATTTTATCATAACCAATGAATAATTTTAAGCCTTTCTTAAAGAAAATATGTCAAAATTCTCTTCAGTTTCTCAAATGTGAATATTAAGGATTTGGAAAGCTATGATGGGCATTTTACTGACATCTTATTGACCAAACGACTCGGGCGATCACCAAATTTATCAGAATAATCAAACAGAACAAATTAAACAATCAATAACACCACGAACCCTTATGTGCAGCCCCATTGCTAGTTCCATCAGTTACCGTACAGCTAGTCAGCTTTAACTAGCAAATTCCCAACGTTACTTTAGCTAGCATGTTTGCCAGGCCTTGTTAAACCAGAGACATTTTTTTCCGTTTTAGCTACTGAGCTAGTCGTTACCTCACAGTTTGGTTTTATCTGTTAAGCTACTAAAATATGTATTCACATGTATTCAATACAGGCATTTTAGTACATTTTCGTACAGCAGGGCAACGAACAGCCATGCAATGCTAGGTAGCTACATAGCTAGTTAGCTAAAGTGCTAAATCGCAGTGCCAACGTTACCTGGGATTGAAGTCCTGAAACAGTCCTCTTAAATTCATGGTGTAACAAGGGCTTGTAAACGAGCTAACATTAGTTCCCGGCGTCGTTAGCTAATTCACCGCCTGATTTGTTTGCTTAACATTGTAATTTCCGTGGCAGTTGAGCGTTTTGGTTGCGTTTCATTACAAGCTCTCTGTGCTAGCCCGTGTGTTTTGGTTTTTTTTTCCTCAGAAATCACGTGACTTCCTGTAGACTGCCGAGCCATTTCCAGCCCCGGGCAAAGGAGGAAGAAGAAGAAGAAGATGATGCTGATGCTGATGCTGTTGCTTTTTCTTTTAATTTTTCTGTCTTTCTTGTCTTCTGTTTTTACGCCATATTTTTTGTTATTTGGAGTGGTTTTGTTTCTCTGTTTGATATTTTATGTATTAGGTATTTACTTAATCATGTTTTTCTATTTTATTCAATTTTTGTTGGATGCCCATCATTTAATTTACTTAACTGGTCCTAAATTGTCTCCGTATAAACTATTTGACTTATCAGATTCATTATTTTTGTTTATAACTGAGTCCCACAGAAGACTTTAAATGGATCACGATGTAATACAATAAAAAAAGGAATGATATGGAAAGTGATTTTATTTAATACAATTACCATTATGTGTTTTCATATGGTTGCCAGAATCCAACTCAGGCCAGAATCACACCTTGGTCGAACACAACCAGCAAGAAATGGCAAATCATGTGCACCCAATATGTATATGTGCTCAAGCTAGGGTCCACATGATTTTGAAGTTGTACCCATAATTCCAATGTTTGTAGTTGTAAATCAACCTTTGCAAACCTGTAAAAAAAAAACTCTGCATGAGAAATTCAAGTTTCTGTGAAGAAATTGTGCTTGTTTTGAAGAGATTTGTATTTGTTAAAAAAAAAGGTTATGTGAATCAGAGGAAAAGTGTTAACTGGATATTTGTTCAGCTTCTTATGAGAAGAAAATTACTGATTGTGGAGAAAAACAAGCCTATACACTCAGGTTTTGATCTCCTTAATGTACATTTCTGCAAATGAATAAAAAGAATTAGCTGGATCAGCAAGATAATGAAACAGCAACTCCAGCTATTTATTTGTGCACTGTGGGAGTTTTAGAGAAACTAACAGCTTGCAGGTTAAACAGGTTTACAGTCTTAGTTTGACACTTGAATTCACTCCTCTTGTTTCAACATCCTTTATAACCATGTGAGATTTGAGCAAATGTTTCCATGATGTTCCTTTATTTGTTTTTTTTCTGGTGCTTCCCCCAGAGCACTGATGAAGAAAAACAACCTGAAAGACACAAAAAACTGTAGGCCACATCTATAGAAATGTAAATTTATGAAAATGGAGAAATAAAAGAACTTTCCAAAAACTAAGCACTTTCAAGTTTTTTTGCTTTTTTTGTAGGTTTTAGACTCTTGACGTCACGATGTGGAGGTTAAAGCTTCAGATCTTGCTTCAAGGCTCAGTCTTGTTGCTTTGAGGTGATGAACACCCACCAGCTCCTCCAACACGTTTGTCAACTTTATTTTTAGAGCAGATTTTAACACAGCTTGAGCTGAACAAAGGACAATTAAATGAAAACACAAGGGAAACATACTAAATATGATAAATATAAATCTGTCTTCAGCCGAGATTTAAAAATAGAGATGGAGTGAGCTCATCTGGGCGCGGCGGCTGCGGCTCAGGAAGTAGAGCGAGTCGTTGACTAATTAGAAGGTCGGTGGTTCAATCCCAGACTCCTCCAGGTCGCATGTCGAAGTATCCTTGGGAAAGATACTGAAGATACTGAACCCCACGTTGCCCCTGATGGCTGTTCCATCAGTGTATGAATGTGAGTGAATGGGTGAATGTGGCAAGTATTGTAAAGCGCTTTGACTTGTCAGTAAGACTAGAAAGTGGCTATATTAGTGCGAGTCCATTTACCGTCTAATGGCAACTTTTTCCATAATTTTGGAGCAGCAACTCAAAAAGCTCAGTCACCTTTTAGTTTTAGTCGTGACCGTGGGACAGACAAGAGAGATGAGCTTTCAGATCTGTGCGATCTCGGAGCTGAGCGCCAGTGATGTGTGATAGAGGGTCCGGCTGTTAACTGGAACTATGTGCTCAACATCCTTGCAGCTGCGTTCTGGAGCATCTGCGAGTGAAGATAATGACAGCTGAAGGCCTAAATACCAGGAATTACAACTGTCCAGTCGAGTTGTGACAAAGGCGTGGATCACTTTCTCCATATCATGGGAAACAGAATCAGTTTCAGTCTTGATGACTCAGAATCAAAGATAACACCCAGTTTTTCATTGAGTCATAGAAGCTGAGAACACAAGGTCAACATATAAAATAATTAGTAATGCTTTGGTGAGAGGATGTAGATTTGGTGGGAAGCAAATGTGGCCCTTCAACAGAAATATTTTATATAGCAACACTGTTAATCACATTACTGACATCACACAGGTGTAAAACCATTTCCTCCCTTTGAACCATAATGAAAAAGAAAACAGACCCACGGTTGAACCTTCAACTGCTGAACCCTGTCCAGAGGATAATGGGGACTTTTGGCAGAACATTGCTAACTGCTCTCAAGTCAGTTAACGGATGAACTTGTCACTGGCTGTAAGCGCTGCAAATGTGCTTTAAGTGGCTATAATTGCAAATGAACAAGAAGCAGAGTTGTGAAAAAGACCAGCTTTAATTGGTTAGTTAATTAGTTAATAAATCAACCAGCTACTCAGACACATGTTCACACATGTGCTCTGCTCAAAGGAGCTTTGTCAATTTCCAGGGAACAGATGAAAAACAGCTTCATTAGTAGGGAAATTCAACTTTCAGTAAGTGATACGCACCACCACTGATGCGTATAGTGGCAGCTTGATTCTGTACTGACTTTGTCATTTACACAGAATACAGTCATTTTAAAAAAGCACAAAAATAGGAGAGAAACTTGACCTCCAGTCAACTGCTCAGTCTGACACTTCAGTCTAGTGGGAAGTGTGAAGAATTAAAATAACCACCTCTCACTTTATCTAAAGGCTTCTACATCGCCCTGCAGTGATGTGCATCTAAACTGTGAGAAGTCCAAACAATGAGCACACTTCCACGGAAGCGAGGATGATGCAGCGAAATCCACCATCGCACATGAGGAAGTGGTGCACGGGAGAGATTTGCATTGGAGGAGGTGAAATTACATGAGTTGGAACATATATGTCATGACTCTGCCGTAAAGAATTTACTATGTTATTATACAAACCTGTTTGGTGCGTTATTTGCATATGGATCTGCAATATGCCTGCATATTGCAACATGTATACTTTAATATTGGTACGCTGCTTTTCTCTCCAAAGGAAGTGTATGAAATGCCTCTGTGTGTCCACGTCCAACTAAAAAGCTGCATGCAAAGTCCATGTGGGTGTGCACGCAGAAGATGTAAATATAATTCAAATGAAGGACAGACTATTTCAACTCAACAGATGTCATCAGAGCAGGTTTCAGTATTTAAATATTACAGGTCCATTTTTAATCCACATCATGAAAGCCTCCCTGGTGCAGAGGCTCTGAGTTCACTCGTGGCCAGAGACGTTTCTGGTGTGAATCCATCAACTAATTATATCTGGGTAAGCGGGTAGTGCTCGCATCTCCTTTAACAATGTTTACCGGGCAAGGCAGCTGACAGTGGTGTCAGAGTATTCAACCTCACAGGTATATTTCAGGTGATGTCATAAGCTGGAGGAACAATTAAAAGAAAATTATTAGTCAACTGTCTCCCAAAGAAAAAGATCTACACACAAATTACACATTCTGTTTCCTTTATTTTCCAGCACTTGAAGAAAATACATAGAAGCCAAGAATAAAAAATAAAGCATCTGACTTACCTTCTTTCTTTTTTTTCCACACACACACACGAACTAAAAATCCTCCAACTACAAAAGCCACAATCAGCAAAAAGGCGAAAAGGGGGGCCAGTCTGCTCCGACTGGACATGTCACCTGCTGGAAAATCAAGCAGAGTCAAGAGCAACGTAACCCGTGGTTACCCGTGGTTACCCGTGGTTACCCGTGGCACCAGAAAGTGCAGCTTAATACAATGAACGCTGTCGCTGAGTGATCGGGTCACATTTCCTGTGACCTTCTCACAATAAAAGCCCCTCTGTGTTTCACCAGTTGAACATTTCAGTGAACACAGAGCAAGAATGGTGGACTCCACTGCCACTATCAAAAGTGTTAAATACTCAATGTAAATAAAAAGAGGTTAAAAAGCAAAACGTTTCTGCTGATAACGTTGACAATTTCATTTTCTCACCCTCACTGTGCATCTCTTCTGTAGGACCCGGAGTTTGGAGGATTTTGGGATATAGCGGCGTCTCTGTTGACGTCTTATTTGAGCTTTGATCTGGGAGAACAGAAGGTTTCTTAATGATTTACAACATAATAGTATCTAAGGGAGACAACAGTAGTTCAGGGCAACAGCAACATAGAAGAAGTCGTTCACAAAATGACCCTCAATGGTCGAGGTGATCTTGTATGTGTATTATGATTTGACCTTGTGCAGACAAGACAAAACGTTGGGTTAATAAATTAGTTTTAAGTCAAACCATGAACCATCTCAACAAATGAACTCACCAATGTCAAGACGAATAATAGAAGATTTTTTCAGGCTTTTTAACTTTGGGATGAAACATCTGTATCTCCCTTCGTCTGCGAGCGTCACATTAGTGATCTTGAGCGATATGTTGCCTCGTCTCAGGTCGTCTAAGAACAGCGCCGTCCTCAGGACGTACGACGAGATCTTCATGTCCAGGACCTCCCGGCTGTCCCGGTAAAGATGCACAAAACCGACCCGCTTCTGCAGATCATTGGGATCAGGTCGAAGGTCGGGCCTCGACCACTCCACCGTTAGCCCCGCCACGTTCACCGGAGGCTCCACGTGGCACGGCAGGATGACGTCATCGCCCGGAGTGGCCACGATGGGCTGAGGTGATCCTATCACCTGTAACGGACCTGAGAGATGGAGGGAAATTCTAGTCTGGAATCTGCTCTGGTGCATGTTGAAATCTTTTCATTAAAACACCTTCAACGTTATTATTTTAATTGCATAAAACTTTGCACAATTTCGTACCACGGTCCAAAGTGACCAACGGTCCAAACCCGATACTCGGTTTACTACGATACGGTTTTGTGTAGTGACTTTGAACCAACCGAACCTTCTTGATGATAAACAAATCTCTCTTATTTTCAGAGCCTGTCACGAATTTGCTCGTCTTCTTTCTACATCTACCTCCTGACGCTTATGAAGACAAGACCGTTGAAATGATTCTCTAATGCGCAAATATTCGGAACTCACGTATTCAATATCTTAACTGATCTCAAAACAGTGGAAAATGAGTCACAGTGTGAATGGATGGTATGGCTCATGTAACCCTGACGACTCACAACACCTGTGGGAGGACAAAATCACCAGTGTCCTTCTCCTTTAATTTATCTATGAAGTACAAACGTCAAACAACTGATGGTGTCCAGATGGAGATATCTTTATCTTGTGTAACCGGGGCAACCAAGGTCTTAATATAATAAGGGAAGGGGAAGCATAATGTAGAGGAGTGAAGAAGGACAAAAAGCAAGGATAAGGACACATGACATCTGGGTTAAATACTCCCTGCGGGACAATACATCCTCAGACAGGGGATGAATGGAGGAAGCAATTACTTGCTCCGTCAGCTGTTGACCAGGCAAAGTCCTGAATGCAAGCAGTTGTTGTTTCTGAATTTCGTGAATATAAAATACAGAAACATGGCCGATTAAAACAGTTTAGGGAAACAAGCAGATTGTGTTTCACTTTAACAAATGATTCCTTCTTTATTCAGAAGATTGGCATCTATGGCTGTGTGGCTGTGTGGGTGTGGGGAACCAGATGGACATGATGGGGGGAAAACCAGCTGCCATACTGTGAGATCTGCTTATCTTTCCAGCCCTTTGTTACTCAATTCATTATGAGTCCAGCTCTTTGTGTGAATATGTAGGTTAAAGATAAAGTGCTCCTGTGGTTAGTCTGCTGGTTCTCATTCAGCTGTTTGTTAAATGAATGATTCACGGATCGACAAACATGTTGTTCCAGTTTGAATTTGTTGGATGAAACAAACAGAATCACTGGGTTTTCAACGAGAACAGCTTTTTTTTTATCAGACTTTGAATCTTTAAATTATTAGATTATCAAATCAAATCTACCGACTGTTACCAAATGTCTAAAGAAATTAACAGAACAAAACAACACATATGTCACAGAATAATATGAAAGATAACTTTCATGCCATATGGGAGAGACTTAAATTAGAGCTCTAATCACACTGAGCTTAATGAGCAGGTACATGAGGTGTATCGCATGAGCTTACCTTCAGCAGACATGCAGGTGAACTGCAGCAAAAACACGGTGAGAGTCAAACAGATCAACGGTGAAAAACTCTGACTGAGCTCCTCATTGTCCATTTAAAACTCGGTACGATGTCACCGGATGAAACTGCTGCTGTGACTGTTTCTGACTCATTACAACCCAGGCAGCTTCATCAGCGTCTCTCCACCCACTGGGTAGATGGGTAACTGGTGTTTTTTTCATTGGAGAACAATGTACGGACTTCTCTGTAAATTTACATGCAAGTACATCTCTAAAGACATCTGTGCTTCACCTAGTCACCACACAGCTGTGTTCTATAAGAGCGAAAAATGGACAAACAAAGAACAATAATACAAAGGAAACGCGTGCAGGGATTTTCCCTCCTTTTCCAGTTAAAAGGAGTCGATAGACAATGTCAAATAAAAAAAGCAGCGAGGAACCAGAAAGTAGTTTTTGCAGTCCAGTCTTGCAGCTGGAGAAGAGGTCCAGACTTCATCACATGTCTTCCGTAACAAAGCAGAAGCTGCTCTCTGAACAGCTTCTTAAAGAGCGGCACAGACGCTTCCGCACAGACCAAGTGTAGAGGGGAGTGTGGCCACGTTAGGTGCCTCCTTCTTTACCCATTAATGAAATGTTAAAAACTAAACCCTCCTCTTGTGCCTTTAAAAAGGAAGAAGATTGTCTTTTTGTTTGTCTTTGGCCGCTTCTTTTCTGCCTTATTCTGTATGTCTCTTGTACTGATTAATAAAAAAACAAAACAACCTAGATGCTCATTCTTGTGTAGTGCAGATTTTAATCAGTGGACAATAGCAGGTTCGAGGTAATGACTTGCTGGGAGATTCCTATTGGTCATATCTTCTATCACCTCTGTTATAGAGGAAATATGTTTACAACACATATTTGATAAGCCCAGACACTAGCACTGGTGTCCACGCCCCCCCAGGTGGCTCCTCTCCTCTCTGACATTAACTGCCACCTTGAGACATTGTGCAATGAAAAAGCAACTGTTGTCATATTTAGGTGACACCTGCACATATAACCTCCAAATGGCCCTGCAGAATGTGATGATATCCCAGCGACGAGAAGTCCAACAAGCCACTGAGGAACTGAAATGTTGCACAGTTGCAATCTTTAAATAAAAAAAAAAAAAAAGTTCTGTCACTATTTTCATTGAGAGATAAATGAATTCCTAAACACTTCCTGTTTACAGTACAAAGCAACACATTTGATTTCATCAACTTAGGGAAAGCAAAACCTTTAAGAATTTGTGGTTGATGTTGACACATCCGGCACAGAGTCAGCACTGAGGTGTGACGCAGCCCCTCACAAGCTGCCATTCGGTTCGCAACAGTCTAGCAACATGGAGGTAATAGCACTTTGCACTATTGTGGGTGAGTGACTTATACATTATTATAAGTGTGTTTCTGTGTGTGTGGTCGCCTGTGTTAATATGAACCATTAATGTTAGGATCTATTTTTTGCTTGTATTATGAGAAATGATCAAATTAATATACATGCTGGTGTTTCACAAGAATAAACTGCACAATACAATTTGCAATAGATTACTTTACGTAGTTGTGCTAAATAATGCCTGTACATTTTTTTACTGTATTTTTTTTTATGTTTAATTTTACAAAAATTATTATATGAATCTGATTATCTTATATTTTGAATTTCACTCTCATAAATACTAAATTTTTATTGTTGACTGTGGTCGCTTTTTTGTACGCTGGCTCGCCCAAACAAATTCCTATGAACTACACTGTTGTGGCAGTAAAGTGTTGTATTGAAGTAAATATAAAAGATATAAAGAGTAAAAAAAAGGACCGGAAGAAAAGCTCTGTGAACAAAAATGCAACACAAAACCATTTGCCCTCCTTCACGACCAGCTATATCTGATATCCAGTTATAATAAGCATCATTCAAAAAGCCACAGAGCTTCTTTCAGATGAATTGAAACCTTGTTTGCCTCTGCAGGTCTGTAGAGGCAAACCTACAACACTTATTGTTAGTTCACACTGGCAGCAGCTTGTTTGATGTGTGGGCAACACGTGCACATTGTGCAACTGCAATGTTTAGAGGAGGCAGATGGTGTAAACTTTGGGTCATTCGAGCCGTGGGCGCAGCTTTGATCAGCTTAAATCTACTCAGTGACTGTCCCAACACGCCGCAGTGTTCACCTCTGCAAGAATCTCAATTTGTCATCATCGTTCTGTTTCTTGCAGCTGCTCTGAACATCATTCCCGACAGATCCCAGTTCTTTCAGTATGAGACCGTCAGTCTGAGCTGTGTGGAGCCTGGTACCAACTCCTCTGATTGGAGAGTAAAGAGGAACACATCCTCAGCGAAAAACGAAGAGTGTGCCAACCCTTGGGGGAAAAAGAACGAGTCCCACTGCAACTTTCATGATATTTACCATTCAGACAGTGGAGCGTACTGGTGTGAGTTTGGAGCTGGAGAGTGCAGCGATGCCGTCAACATCACTGTGACCGGTGAGTTTAATCAAACCTCCAGCCACAGTCATTCATGCATCAGGGCAATTTAAGGTGAAAAACTAGAATTACTGCCTCATGGTTGTCTGCCTCTGCCACTCAGTTTCAGGTTTTGTCATAATGGCTGTGTGAAGAGTTATGGCTAAAAAGTGTTTTGTGTTCATCCTTGAGTCCCAGTGAACATTTGTGCCAAATGTGACGGGATTCCCTTGAAGAGGGACCTTCATTGTGACCTTGACCTTTGACCTTCAGCTACCAAAATCTAATCGGTTCATCCTTGAGTCCTAGTGAATGTTTGTGCCAAACTTGAAGAAGTTTCGTCAAGGTGTTACTGAGATATCACCATCTTAGCACGCATGCTAACATATGCTAATTAACGCAAATGCACAGCAGGCCATCCATTCAAGAGCTGTTTAGAAGTTTCACATACAAACCACAAATATCAACCTCATGGTGGCGCCAGAGGTAAACGTCAGGGGTTCAATAAAGTCAGTAGGATTCATCCTCTGCAGGAGTGTAGCATCAAGACAACTTGAGCTTCCAACTATTTCTTAATCTTCCTGCCGTTCTGTCGTTCAGCTGGCACCGTGATCCTGGAGAGCCCTGTCCATCCCGTGCAGGAGGGAGATGCCGTGACTCTGCGCTGCACAAATCAGACGACGTCCTCCACCAACCTCACAGCTGAATTTTACAAAGACGACCTCCTCGTCAGAAGCAGCTCCACAGGAGACATGACCATCCACAGTGTTAGAAAGTCTGATGAAGGCTTCTACCAGTGTGACATCACTGGAGGAGAGAGATCAGCAAAGAGCTGGCTGGCTGTCAGAGGTGAGACGAGCTTCAGCCATGAAATAGTCGTTAAGATCCCTCTACACACTGTTACTTAGCTTTAAGTGGCATGTCATCTTTCGAAGATGGACACACTTTCAAAAGCATAGAGCAATGAGGGTGTGAAATACGTTAGCCTAGCACCAACTGTGTCAAAACATCAGAGCTGTTGTTGTGTTTGCAATGAGGTCAGACTGTGGTTTTTCTCATTTATTGTGCTGGAGCTGGGCGTCCTGAATCTTTTCAACCACCTCTCGCACTCATTCTGCTTCCTGTGCTGGGGGGCATCTGCCTCTCGCTGGCCTCTGTGGCGCTGCTGTACCTGTGGAGGAAACGAAAAGGTCAGCCTCTGTTATACACTGATATGCCTGGTGATATTCTATTGGTGTTTTTGATCCTTAACAATATGAAAATGACAAAAATAGTAGTATTGTGTGTGTATAAATACGTCTTATTCTTCTGTGCCATAGACTTCTATCGTTGTCCAAACGCTATTTAAAAACACGTGGATGAGCGTTAAGACAAATATAGAAAAACACAAGATTGTTTTTTTAAACTAATGTAGTTTGGAAAAAAAAGAAAAATCCAATCCAATCTTCAACTATTGACAGTAACTGATTGTGGATCTTTAGTTTATCAGATGTAATTGTTCTTTTCGTACGATTGTATTTGAGTCGTAATTTATTTGCCAAAAAAAGAGACAAAACGCGGGAAACAAAATGATCATTTATTTATTTATTTATTTTCGATTTTCTATAGATATTGTGATAATATTGTTCTTTTGAATTCTTGGCAACAATGATCACATAGTGAAAATCTGGTATTGTGACAGCCCTATTTGACACCATGAAATATTCAGTTTAAGAGTCATTTCCCTTAATTAGGAAAAGAATTACAAATTAGGTTTCCAGATATCCGTCTCCGACATGTCAGCCTCCACACCGGCACAGTGGAAATGAATGTTGCGTTTGGTTTGTGATGCTCGCAGCATGGAAGAGTCAAGTTTAAAATTTCTACAGCAGCATCTTGTTACAGGAAGTGTCTGTTATTCTTAACGTCCCACAGACTTCATGAGACCTGCTGAAGTGTTTTTGTGGTTCCAACATTTTAAGCAAATCATACGTTTGATTCACAGCTTGAACACGACCTTGTGTAGAGAGAAAAAATCACGAGTGTGGGACCTTTAATCTTTCAAATATGTGCATCTGAACCATTAAATGTAAACATTTAATTTAAAACAAATCACCAAAACTGATAAAGTTGTTTTATATTATGTATATATATATATATATATATATATATATACACATACACATATATATATATATTTATATTACATAACATTTGTAAAATTAGAACAAAAGACCAGAACCATAAAATCCATATTTTCAACATTTGCATAAATGTCTTCATTGTCCAAAAGCTTGAATAATACAAAATACAGTTTGAGTTATTTTCCTATTGTCATTCAGCTTTTCTGATTCGTTGTAAATCACCGAAAAATAAATGGCAATTACAAGTTGAATCTCAACAGGTGTGTTATCGTGCTACAGGTAAAGCTGAGAGTGACGTGGCATACACTGACGTCACCATCACACAGGAAGTGCCATTCACAAGGCAAACAGGTAAAACACACACACACACACACACACACACACACACACATGATAGACCTTTTTCCCCAAAACATTTAGTTTCTCAAGCTACAACCAGCTCTTGTTCTCTTTATCAGAAAGGTTTCAGTCATGAGTCGCTGTGTTATCAACAACAACAGGACATGAGTCATCACTAAAGCAGCAGAAACCTGAAGTCATACAGTTTGTGTCTCCATTAAAAACTGCCCAACTTGTTTAAACTGCTGTAACCTTGTTAAGAGGTTTCATGTTTGTGTCTCTCACAGAAATCAACTTTCAATCAACTGTCTACTCAAAACTCAAAGCAGTGGCCACCTGAGAGGAACCGGCAGAACCAGAAATATGGTTTTAATTAAGTACTTTTTATTATTCATCTGCTCTGTATCTCACCTCGTCCCTGCAGCTGAGTGCACACAGGCACAAACAAACTCAAACACACACTAACTCACGTTTAAAAGAAGAGACGATTTAAAGAAACAAAGCTCCGTGTCTGTATCTGTGTTTGTCACCTCACGTCTCCTTTTGCTTTTCTCCAACACAAAAACCCCAAAGTTTGATTTGGAGAATTTTTGTGTGTCTGATCTGAAGACTGAACAAATACAGTAAGAGATGAGAGGTCTGATAACATTTCTGTCTGTGGTGTCATAAAACGGTGTCTATTTCTATTAATAGCCTCCATTTCCTGTCTTTGTCTACCATTTCTTTGGCAGCTCACACCTACAATATGTACTGCATATACGCCTTCACACCTTAAGTGCTGATCGATGTAGCATTTCCATGTGCAGCTACTCCACATTTACTTTTTACTCAAACAGTTTTAACCTGGAATCTTGATTTGTAAGATCATCAAATCGACGCTAACCTAAAATGTGACCTGTTTGGTTTGGCTCCGGATTTCCAGAGCAGATGCAGAAAGGGGAAATAACAAGCAAAACCACGGAAATAATGCAGCTGCATCCTTGTATAGATCTTTCCATCTCCTGTAAGGAAGATTATTCTTCTCAGCTGATTGTCAGCTGACTTATTGGGGAAACAACAGATGCTGTCCATTCTAGTTACTACAAGTGAGTCAGTGTCGTTGAGTTTCTTTTCCTAATACAAACAACAAATTAACAAGAAAATGAAAATATTTTTTGAAGAAACAAATGAAGATAAAGAAAACTGGAACACACGGTGGGATATTTTCATTGTGAGGTGAAAATGCGGAGGGGCAAAGACAGCAAGTACAAGCAGCAGCTATACAACCTCAATTCATATGATGTATTTAAGTGCAAGAGGAAAGTCGGGACTTTTGAACTCTGCAGAGCTCCGAGCTCTCGCTTCATCATCCGGACAGAAATGATCACTGTAGGTCACTGCAGTGATTTCCTGACAAGGTACTGAGATTTATTTATAGTATTCTGAGGAGTCGTCATCAAATGGGAGCTACTTTGCCACCTGGTGGGCGTTTTGTTTTAGCTAAACCAACAAGACAATCTCCACCTCTAAATTTAAAGATACGGTATATAGATTTTATATCTTGTTTTCATATTCATGCAATAAAAATGTATCATGCATGTATGTAATGTGAAGGGATACCAATTCAAATAATTTCCGCTGCAGTGTTCCCTGTTATACTGAACATTATATATTATTATTATTATATAATATTATAATTCAAATCACCATTTACTGATATACACAATATTTAGGTAGTATGTGAGTTTGGGGTTTTTCTGGGGGCGACTTGCATAAATGTAAATGTGTATTCTTTGTTTTTTTTATTTCTGTATCATGTTGGTTTTCTGTGACTAATCATTACTTTATATTGGTCTAGTGTTGATCCTGCCGTATTGGTTTCTTCCAACTAAAGACCTGCTGCAGGAAAATTAGTTTCACTCAGAGGTGGTTGGTGATGGTGTGTCAGTGTATGTAGGAAGCTAGTACAGCGCCATCTGTTGGTTTGAGCAACGTACTGCAGCCCTTCAAGACTTGGGCGAAAACACCTCAATATTTTAAGTTTTTAGTTTTAGTCTCATGCGTGTGCAATAAAAGCTAGAAGCCAGTGAGCTGTTGCTAAATTTGTAATACTTATGTATTATTAATGTTACTGAGCAAAATGTTACAATTATTAAATACATTGTCCAAGAAGGCCAGATATATAATATGTTGACTGACACAAAAAATACGACTGTATCCTCTAATTTAGGCCCATTGTCCACTGTGTGGTCGTGTGTTTTAACTTTATGGTTGATATTTGAACATTTTATATGATTGTGTGACTGGAAAACGATATTCATCATCATTAGCTTATTACTTTTATTACATTGGGTGGCAATGTTGTCATAAAAGAAAACATTGGGCAAAGATTTTGATTGTTGATGCAATTTAATTTAATTTAATTTAATTTTACTTTATTTTATTTTTTGAGAGATACTCAGGGTCTCTGACAATACCATTAGTTATCTTTTAAAAAAAGAGACAAACTCACATAAAAATACTCATTTACAACATTCACATAATAACATATGTATTTTGGGCAAAGATTTTGATTGTTGATGCAATTTAATTTAATTTAATTTAATTTTACTTTATTTTATTTTTTGAGAGATACTCAGGGTCTCTGACAATACCATTAGTTATCTTTTAAAAAAAGAGACAAACTCACATAAAAATACTCATTTACAACATTCACATAATAACATATGTATTGCAAATGCATGAATGAGACTATTAGTTTGACTACTATTATCCTAAATCTGGAGTAGAAAGTCAATAAAAATGTTTCTGTATCATGTTGTGTTGAAAATAAAACAAAACATAAAAGTATTTGTGTAAGACACTTTGACTTTGTTCGCACTCATCAGTAAATAAATAAATATAGTTTTGTTTGTGACTGTTTTAACTAACCCAGACTGTCACAGATGACAAAATCAGAACTATAACATCATCAACAATCATAATGCGTGTCACTGCAACTGGCCACTTAACTGAAATAAACTTTTAACAATGTTTGAACCATAGACTGTATAGATTTGACCACAAAAAAAGGCAACAGTTGTAGTCTAGTTACTGTTTTTAATCAACAACAGGGTTACAAAAAGTAGCCATTAAAAAACAAAGAAATAAAAACAAACCCAACAGGACAGAACAATATCACATTTCAAAGATAGGTTTACAGCAAGCAGCAACCTCGAAGAGCCAACATGAAACTGCCAAAACATGCAATTCCTCTATTGACCACTAGATGCTGTCAATCCTCATAGACTCTTCTTCTGGTCTCTACAGCTGATTTACTCCCTCATAACAACTGTAACTGTACGGGGGTGATTCTTTTATATAACTGCGGAGTTTGACTGAGAGACATTGAATGTTGGATCATTTACACAGAATACAGTCATTTTAAAAAAGCACAAAAATAGGAGAGAAACTTGACCTCCAGTCAACTGCTCAGTCTGATTTATTTCAGTCTAGTGGGAAGTGTGAAGAATTAAAATAACCACCTCTCACTTTATCTAAAGGCTTCTACATCGCCCTGCAGTGATGTGCATCTAAACTGTGAGAGGTCCAAACAATGAGCACACTTCCACAGGAGCGAATCAGAGAGATACAGTTTGGCAAAGGCGTCAAAATGTGGGCCATAGTCAATCTGCTTCCGTCCGTGACTGGAGATAAGGAAACACTGCAACATTTCTAAACAGCCGAATGATCTGGCTTTGGATACAGAAACAGGAGACTACTGAAGGCTCAAGCGCTCCACGAAATTCCAGTTCCAGGAAATTCAACTTTCAGGTTCACATGGCAAAACTGCAGATGCTGTGGTAAGTGATAGGCACCACCACTGATTCATGTGCAGGTGCTCGCATCTCCTTTAACAATGTTTACCGGGCAAGGCAGCTGACAGTGGTGTCAGAGTATTCAACCTCACAGGTATATTTCAGGTGATGTCATAAGCTGGAGGAACAATTAAAAGAAAATTATTAGTCAACTGTCTCCCAAAGAAAAAGATCTACACACAAATTACACATTCTGTTTCCTTTATTTTCCAGCACTTGAAGAAAATACATAGAAGCCAAGAATAAAAAATAAAGCATCTGACTTACCTTCTTTCTTTTTTTTTTTTTCCACACACACACACGAACTAAAAATCCTCCGACTACAAAAGCCACAATCAGCAAAAATGCGAAAAGGGGGGCCAGTCTGCTCCGACTGGACACGTCACCTGCTGGAAAATCAAGCAGAGTCGAGAGCAACGTAACCCGTGGTTACCCGTGGTTACCAGTGGTTACCCGTGGTTACCCGTGGCACCAGAAAGTGCAGCTTAATACAATGAACGCTGTCGCTGAGTGATCGGGTCACATTTCCTGTGACCTTCTCACAATAAAAGCCCCTCTGTGTTTCACCAGTTGAACATTTCAGTGAACACAGAGCAAGAATGGTGGACTCCACTGCCACTATCAAAAGTGTTAAATACTCAATGTAAATAAAAAGAGGTTAAAAAGCAAAACGTTTCTGCTGATAACGTTGACAATTTCATGTTTGAATCATTTTCTCACCCTCACTGTGCATCTCTTCTGTAGGACCCGGAGTTTGGAGGATTTTGGGATATAGCGGCGTCTCTGTTGACGTCTTATTTGAGCTTTGATCTGGGAGAACAGAAGGTTTCTTAATGATTTACAACATAATAGTATCTAAGGGAGACAACAGTAGTTCAGGGCAACAGCAACATAGAAGTCGTTCACAAAATGACCCTCAATGGTCGAGGTGATCTTGTATGTGTATTATGACTTGACCTTGTGCAGACAAGACAAAACGTTGGGTTAATAAATTAGTTTTAAGTCAAACCATGAACCATCTCAACAAATGAACTCACCAATGTCAAGACGAATAATAGAAGATTTTTTCAGGCTTTTTAACTTTGGGATGAAACATCTGTATCTCCCTTCGTCTGCGAGCGTCACATTAGTGATCTTGAGCGATATGTTGCCTCGTCTCAGGTCGTCTAAGAACAGCGCCGTCCTCAGGACGTACGACGAGATCTTCATGTCCAGGACCTCCCGGCTGTCCCGGTAAAGATGCACAAAACCGACCCGCTTCTGCAGATCATTGGGATCAGGTCGAAGGTCGGGCCTCGACCACTCCACCGTTAGCCCCGCCACGTTCACCGGAGGCTCCACGTGGCACGGCAGGATGACGTCATCGCCCGGAGTGGCCAAGATGGGCTGAGGTGATCCTATCACCTGTAACGGACCTGAGAGATGGAGGGAAATTTTAGTCTGGAATCTGCTCTGGTGCATGTTGAAATCTTTTCATTAAAACACCTTCAACGTTATTATTTTAACTGCATAAAACTTTGCGCAAATTCATACCACGGTCCAAAGTGACCAACGGTCCAAACCCCAGATACTCGGTTTACTACGATACGGTTTTGTGTAGTGACTTTGAACCAACCGAAACTTCTTGATGATAAACAAATCTCTCTTATTTTCAGAGCCTGTCACGAATTTGCTCGTCTTCTTTCTACATCTACCTCCTAAATATAGTTTCCGACAATGGTGTAGTCCAGGCTATACGCTGGTATACGGCTAAACCCACTTATTTTTTCAGCCAGCATTGCGTATACCCACTTCTAAATCCCCCCTGATGCGCACCATTCAGTAGTATCTGCGAGCCAAATTGCCCATTTTTCCCTATGATGGTGAAGCCATGACCCACGCTACTCTGCCTCGAATTGGCTGTTACTCGCTGCCTTTACTGATTAGATTGGTTAACTTTAGGCAGGAGGACTGATGAGCCAATCGGAGGCAGAGAAGGGCGGGTCATGCCGAGGTAAATATTGCTAACTGACAAATTTACTTTTACAAGTTTACTTGAAATGATTTGCCTTTAGGATATGTAATGAACCGGTAAGATGAAGCGAGCTATTCAAACTAAAATTTCATTTCACAATTACAAACGTCCTCGCGAATCAACATCAGCCAGCAACTCAGCTAATGTTAGCGACGCTACACCGGTACAGTTAAGCCCAATCATCATATGATATTTATATATATCTAATGAGGTATGCTAAAATAGTGTTTATTTAAATTTTATGACAGTGCACTTTTGAGTTTATCTGATTGGTTTTGATGTGTGGAAGAGAATGATTTGCGGTTTTTTTTCATCTAAGGTGAAATATGAACATGGATGCATTGTCAAATTCAGATCTGAAGTATTTTATTTAAATAAATGTTCAAAAAATAACTGAAACACCATGTTTGCCTCATGTATATTTTACATTCATGCAGGCTGCCTGTGTGACCAGTAATACCTACAAACTGCTCCTGATCAAGTCATGTTAATTTTATAATAGTGGCACACTCTGGCCCACGCTATCTGTTGCAAATCAGCTGTTCAAAGAGACAGTTTACAAAAGAAACTACTGACTTGCCAAGTGAGAGAATAGGTGTCATTCCTTATTCCTTATTCCTTAGTCCATCCACACTGTGGATGGACTAAGAATAGTTCACTCAAAATGCATAGTTGTCTCTCACTAGTCTGTGGGCCAGTATTGGTTTAGTAATTTCATAATCCTTCCTCCCTGAGATCAAACAGCAGAAATTATGTGACAATGAGCAAATACTACTGACGGATTTTTGGGTAAACTAAATAAAGTAGTCTTATATGTCACTGTTTCTAAAACAGGGCGTTTTTCTGGGCTGCGTTAAAAAAAGGGCAAAAATTGAGAGTATACCCACTTCTCCAGGGACCACTACACCACTGGTTTCTGAACTCATGTATTCAATATTATAACTGATCTCAAAACAGTGTAAGATCACGGTGTGAATGGATGTTATGGCTCATATGGCTCATGTAACCCTGACGACTCACAACACCTGTGAGAGGACAGGAGCAACTTGCATGCAAGCAGTTGTTGTTTCTGAATTTCGTGAATATAAAATACGGAAACGTGGCCGATTAAAACAGTTTAGGGAAACAAGCAGATTGTGTTTCACTTTAACAAATGATTCCTTCTTTATTCAGAAGATTGGCATCTATGGCTGTGTGGCTGTGTGGGTGTGGGGAACCAGATGGACATGATGGGGGGAAAACCAGCTGCCATACTGTGAGATCTGCTTATCTTTCCAGCCCTTTGTTACTCAATTCATTATGAGTCCAGCTCTTTGTGTGAATATGTAGGTTAAAGATAAAGTGCTCCTGTGGTTAGTCTGCTGGTTCTCATTCAGCTGTTTGTTAAATGAATGATTCACGGATCGACAAACATGTTGTTCCAGTTTGAATTTGTTGGATGAAACAAACAGAATCACTGGGTTTTCAACGAGAACAGCTTGTTTTTATGAGACTTTGAATCTTTAAATTATTAGATTATCAAATCAAATCTACCGACTGTTACCAAATGTCTAAAGAAATAAACAGAACAAAACAACACATATGTCACAGAATAATATGAAAGATAACTTTCATGCCATATGGGACAGACTTAAATTAGAGCTCTAATCACACTGAGCTTAATGAGCAGGTACATGAGGTGTATCGCATGAGCTTACCTTCAGCAGACATGCAGGTGAACTGCAGCAAAAACACGGTGAGAGTCAAACAGATCAACGGTGAAAAACTCTGACTGAGCTCCTCATTGTCCATTTAAAACTCGGTACGATGTCACCGGATGAAACTGCTGCTGTGACTGTTTCTGACTCATTACAACCCAGGCAGCTTCATCAGCGTCTCTCCACCCACTGGGTAGATGGGTAACTGGTGTTTTTTTTCCATTGGAGAACAATGTACGGACTTCTCTGTAAATTTACATGCAAGTACATCT